TAAAAAATTCATTTCAAAAATGAATACATAAAACGTACTTATTTTTATTGGTCAAATTTCATGTGACTTTATTTATATTACACCCTGAATTTTCTCCATTCTGCAAATCGGCGGATATGGACAGATCACCAAGACAAGTTGTTAGTAATATAATTGTTCCTTTGTAACAGCATTTGATTAAATAGATTACTAATCTTAATATGCAAAATACCTTTAAAAAAGATTGAAGAATACTATAAAATTATCAAAAAAGAAAGTATTAGTACTAATATAAAAAAATCTGAATGAATCTAATAATCAAAATGCAAAAAGTTAACGCAAGTATTTATTATATGAAAATTCAATTATTATCAAAAAAATGTCTAAATACTAAAAAGGAGATTAATATAAAGGTATTATACTTTTTATTTAATTATAAACTATTGAAATACATAATTTTTACTAATAATTATTTTAGTTAGTATGAAAGCAATATAATTTTATAATTAAAGATTATTCATATTACAAATTTATATAAATATTAACTTTAATATTAAGTTAAAAAGGTATATAAATACTTATTATTATGAGATTTAAGAAATAAGAAAAATAGTAATATGATTATTTTTTTATATAAACTATAATATAATTCAAATACTTGTTTATATCTAATAAAAATAATATTTTACTTTATTAATTAGTATAATCAAATAAGTAATTTTTTAAATTAAAAAATTTTATTTTTGACTTTGATAATTTTATTAACATTTATTTTTAGCAATATTAATTATAATAGAATATTATAAAATTTATTATGAAAAATAATTTTAATTATTATAATTTTTATAATTTATTTTAAAAAATTAATACTTTTTTTATGTTTACAGGCAAATTTGCCTATTTTATAATTTAAGAAATAATATATATTTATAAAATTAATTTAAAAAATTTTTTTAAAAAAATTTTAATTTTTTATAAAAGTGATCAGAAAATAATTTATAATAAATAAGTAAGCAAATTTGTCTATAATTTTTATAATTTAAAAGATAAAAAATTATTTTTAATATTTATTATTAATTTTAAATCTGACAAAAAAGTTTATAAAAAGTATTTATATAGAAAAAAATTATATAGAGAATTTAATTAGAGTACTAAATAAGTTATATTAAATTAAATAAATCAAATTACCTAAGTGATCAGATTAGATCAAGTAAAAATCTGATTTAATTTAAATTTTTATTTAAATTAACTTGACCTAATTATTATATGATTTAATCAGTTTACTTAACAGATTAAGTTAATCTGAATGATTTGATCTAAATGAAAATATTTTATGTTATATTAATTAAATATTATTAAATTATAAAAAAATAATATAATAAACAATTATTAATATATTTAATCTGAAACTTTAACAAATAAAATATATTTTATGTTAAAATCAGTCAGATTAACTATTTTCTATTAAAATAATAAGATTTATCATTTTTCATAATTTATATAATTTCTTTATCTTTAAAGTAAAATATGATATATTGTAAATTTCTATAATTAGCATATAATTTAGGTATTACCTATATAATTACTTTAATTATATTATCTATAAAAATTAAGTATTATTTATTAGCATTGAATGAATAGTTAGTGAATTTCAAAGAAACTACTGACTTTTTTCTAATATCTTTAATAGTCATTATATAAGAATAAACTCAAATAAAATCTTTAATTATGAAATAATTATTTAATTTATTCAAAATAGTCATTTTAGTATTATGCTTAAAGATAAGTATAACTTGTTGTCTGAGATTTTTTGTTGATATTATATAACAGATAATCTTTCTAAAAAAGAAAAAAATCAATTTAATATTTAACTTAGTAGTCGAGATCAAAATCTTTGTAAGATAAATTAATAATTTAAGAATATATTTAGCAATTAGTTTGATTGTGAGAAGTAAAAATAAAGAAACAGCATTCTTAATTCAATTGGTAACAACTGAGCTTCTATTGTAAATTACCTCGATCAAGAATAATTTTTATAAGAATTTTATTGTAACTGAACAAGTGAGTATATAGACTAATATATATTAGTAACTGGTTAATTGACCTATCAATCGATATTAATCATACTTAAATACTAGGTCTTGAAGAATATGTAGATGCAAATGAAGCCAGAAATCAACAGAAACTTAGTTTTCGCTAATAGATCTATAATAGATATTATTTATATATTTAAATTCAAGAGCTCTTATATAAGTAAATAAAAGATTAACCAGTAATTAATAGATTTGAAGTATTTCAGATATAATAGACTGTATTGTATATTATAAATCTGAGTTAAATTACATTATTAGAGATCAGGTTTGATTTCTAGGTGATTTTAATGCTATAGATATTATATCACTATCTATATAAAGAATCTAATCCTATAGTTTTAATAGTGTAAATTCTCTATAAATTAGATTAGTAAAGATAGTTATTATTAATCACTATGGCTGAAGTAAGCCTTCTATCTAATTCTGATAACTAAGCCTACATGGAGTATTAGTTAAGCAGATCCTAGAGTCAAATCTAAGTAAAGTAGACTATAATTACTAAATAATAGTCCCTAAGTAGATGCATACATTCAACTCTCTATAAATGTACTTTCCTTAGGATTAAGTATAATGGTGTATTTAAAGAAGATGTGTATTTATAAAATATATATAAATCTATTTAATATTAATCTAAAATTAAGGTAATATAAAAAATTTATAAATAAACTATATAAAATTTTTTTTAAAGAATATATTTACAGAGAATATATATATAAAAAATATATATTTAGTAATAAGTTCCAAGTTGGGATCAGATAAAAAGATGTATTTATAAAAGGTATGCATTTATAGAGGTATATTTATAGAGATTTGACTGTATAATGTAATTATGTATACTCTTGTAAGACCTTAGATTTAGTGAGTATAAGATATTAATTCAACCTTTATCAAAACTAACTAGAATAAATGCATCTATAAAAAAGAGAAGGAAAAACATAAAGTTATTGAAACAAGGTAATCAGAATGCAATAGTATTATTTTTTTCTTATGAGATGTAAATCCAATATTAACAATTTTTTTTGTTTGGTTTTTGGGTTGACTGCATATAGTTACATTAATAAAAAAATATATAATGAAATGTAAAGATATCATATGCCTTATTTTGTTGTCTCTATTTGATTTTTTGAAATAATATTTTTTAGCAGTATAGTAAGCAAAGTAGATTAGAACTCCAGTGTCTTGCTTTAAGTAGATATTATTTTTATTATTTTTGTCATTATTAGAATCATTTTTAGAGATATCAAAGCCTGATCTTCATTTAAATGAGCTTTTTCATTGTTGAGAGTAGTTTCTGAGGCTTTCCTTTGTCAAGAAGTAGAGTAAGAGTTGTTTCAACTTCCATATCTTTGGTCATATTTTTGGAAGAACTTCCACTAAAAGTCAAGGTTTCTGATTGTTAAGGTGTCTTAATAACTGTTTTTTTGCAAGGTATTGTTGTTAGTCATTCTCTGGTAAAGAAGAGTAAGTTTTGTTTGACTTATTGTTGTTGTTTCTTGCATTTTTTTTCCTGTCATTTTTTGGATTTGGTGATTGGCATAAAGAGTTTTAAATTGTTTTTAGTTGATAAATTTATTATGAAAAGAAGAAATTGTAAACAATTTTATAGATCATTATCAAATAAAGTTATAATTCCTTTATTGTAGCTTAAGAATTAAAATAAATGAAATTTTAAAAAATAATAAAATATTATTATTATTATTAATGAAAAAAAAGATATTATAATGGTTAAATAATTTTATTTGGTTTAACTTGTTAATGAAATTATAAGGTCTTCGGAAATCTGAACGAAAAAAATGTGTCATGGATTTCCGAAAAAAAGATAAATGCGTAATGATTCGTCCAGACTTTAATAATTTCTTCGTCAAACGCTCCTCTCAAACTGCGATACTTCTGTTTTTTAAACGAGTTCTTAACGTATTAGGCTCGGAGAAATAAATACAACCTTGAGTGTCCAAGTAAGAAAAAAAGTTGTATACGTGAAAATCTATCTTTATTGCAAGTAAAAAAAGCCACACTGTCAAATACGGTCAATGGTTTCGACCACTCGTTCGACCTAAAATTACGTAACATTAATTCGCCTTTTTTAATAAATACCTTGGAAATTTGTGAAATCATTTTCTCCGTTTACTGATAAATTACCTTTTTTTTTTATTAATTTTTGTCGAAATATCTATATTACTGTATTATGTCGCAACAAGCCACCAAAAGTTTATGCAAGAGTCTATCAAGAGTCTATAGTCACGATGGTATATAAAGTATATATATCTTTATACCTTAGATAGTACCTTTTCATTTTTCATGTTTCTCTTGTTTCCTGCACCTTTAAACAATTTCAAAATAATGAGTTTTGCTATAGAAGGTCAAGAAATGTCCAATACAATAACCCGGGAGACCAGACAAACCTCAAAAGTTAATCAGGTATTTAAGTTGTTTGATTCTGTTAAGAACTAGGAGAATTGGCTAACGACTACGGAACGCGATAGATCTGCATGATTATTGACGAATTATTGCTTGGGCAAGATAAAAACCAAAGTTACGTTATGGTCAGTCTTCCTAAAGAAATAGATATGAATAGTGTTGACGTACATGTACTCGAAGAGGTACATGCAAATTATCGGGCTGAAAGAGTTGGAAACGATATATTTATCAAAGTAAATTTATTCTTTAATTCTAGCCTACACGCCTATATATATCATTACCGATTTTATAAAAAATTTAGTACGATGGGATCAATAAAGAAAATATACAACGCTATCTAACAAACTCGGCTGGGGTGTTCAATCCAAATTGGACTGTAGCGACTAATTCGATATGTGTAATTGGAGGCGCTGAGCGTCGACCCGACATTGGAGTGTGGTTTATTAGACCGACGTTTGCGCAACGCTCTAGGCCTATTATTAACCGATGTCCACCGCCAAATGTGTATATTGAGGTAATTGTATTAATTTCTACTGAGGAAAATAGGAAATTTAACGGTTTGACTTATAAGATCTGAATCCTTTAGTTGTTTTTTAACAAGGACCCGGACCGTGACATAGCGTTAACTAGAATTAACTTTGCTCAGCAACACACGACTGGAATTGAATTCGTTGGAATTTGTATTCCAGATTTAACTAATCCTTTTCACGCAAATCCAAATCCTCAGCAAGTTTCAACTCATGCAGTTCCCGCAGCAAATCAAAACGCCAGACCCACCCGAGCTCCTTATATTTTACATTGGAATGTAAACAATATCCCAGTTTATTATATAATGCGATGGAACGAACACATTTTGCTTAGGTGTGGGTGGAATATTAACTTTAATATTGTACTCAATGAGCTTGTTTAATGATACTCTCCAAACCAATTGCATATTATAAATATTTTAGTATAAATAGCTAACGCTTCTAACCTTGCTATGTCATAATTTTATTCATGTACATTTCTCAATAATGATAAAAAGAAATTATAAATTTTATGTGTACAGATAAATAAAAAAAAAAAAGCTAAACTTCTTTCCTCTCCTAGCTAACTCGGCCTTTAAAACTTAGTCCCAGTGTATGATTTGAGCAGTGCGGTCATGCGCGCTTGTACATGATGATGATTTTCCGCAAATACCAGTATTTTTTTTTGTTCAGTATCCACTGGGGTGATGTGAGACAACCTTTAATATTCCACGATCGGTCTTTAAAATTGAGAAATCTCGATGTTGCTCTATGTAGGAATAACCTTATGATTAATGATTAAATTATTTCATAAAGTGTCCTAATTATTACTCTATTATTGTTACATTCTTTCCCTTAGTTTCTTTTCCTTTAAGTCTTTTTTTGGCATACCTAATTTAGGCTTATATCATATGTTATCATGGCTAATGATTCATTGATTATTTTGTTTAGGGTTCGTTGATCCAATTTTACAGATCTCTGTTATATCAATTTTCTGCAGATCATTTTTTTTGTTGTGTCACATGATCTTTATTTTGCAAATCATTTATGTTACAATGTAAAGCTCTTATATCCTAAAAAAGCTTTTTGATTATTCTATAATCTCTCAATCATTTATCCAATACCAAATATTGATATTTTAACATTATTTAACCCTAACCTCAACTATAATTCTGAATACAAAATTTTTACTTACAAATCTTATAAAAATTCTTTATAAAATTCTTTTACCTTTACTTTTCACCAATATCAGAAGAAATCATCTCTATTCCTTTACACAAAGAAGATACTTATTACTTGTTATTTCTATTGCATTTTAAAAAAAAAACTCAAACAGTAATCCCTACTCTGAATATAAAAGTTTAACTGGAATTATAAGTTATTTTTACAATATCAAAATATACATCTTATACTTTAGAACTTTAAATACTATTTTAGAACTAAGTGATAATACTACTAATAATTCAATAAAACAATCAACTCAAGATCCAATCCTATAATAAGCAACTACCTAGTTAACTTAAAATAATTCTTATCTTCAATCCTTTACTAACTTATTAACTAATACCTAATAACAAAATATAAATAAATCTTTTCTAAAAGTTAAACATATCCTAACTAACCCTAATCTACTTCCTATTAATCTATGTAACTTAATAGTATTAAACTATAACCTTTCTAATAAAATTTATAATAAAGATTTTTATTATATCAGGTTGATAGCAGGTTTTATTTAAAAAGCAGATAATTTAAAGATCTCTATATTAAACTATAATTTAAATTTAGAATTTCTACTTTTTTAGATCTTTTCACCAATAGAAAAGATTACTTTCATAACACATCTAATTTATCTAATTTTAACAATAAAACCTATAATAAAACCTATAAAAAGTATATCTAATTATGCTTAATAAATTTAGATTTTAAATGAAAACTTTATTATCATTAACTTTTGTGATTTTATCTATAATTGAAAAAGTTAAGAAATCACTAAAATATCTAAAAACAATTTTAATAATTTCAATTCAATTCTAATAATAAATTTAATTTACTAACAATAAAAGATCTACTTTAACATAATACCTATTTATAATATAACATAATTAACAAATCTAAAATTATTCCTATCTCTTTTTTTATATAAATCAAAGATACTTATTTTTATTGAAAATAACTTCATCTTAATATAATGATTAAAATTTTAGATTAATAGCCTTATTCATAATCTTAAGTATGACTAAAAACTATTGGTTGCACTTTTAAAATATATTTTCTAATAGCAATAATAAAGATATCTTATTTACAAATAGATTCTTTTATTATATAAACTACTTCATTTATAAATTCCAATTTTTATAAAAAAAATTTTATAAGAAATCTGATCTTACAGGCTTTAAAAAAATTATAAACTTCTTTAATTAAGTTAAATTTCAAAATAAAAACATCATATATAAGATTGCTTATCTAAACTCATTTTAAATTTAGCAAAACGTCTAAACTATAGTTTTGTCAAATTTTTACTAAAGTTTTGATATAGTTTTGCATTTTTATAAACTTTGATATAGTTTTCCCTTTTCTAAAATTTCACAGATTTTTTAATAAGGTTTTAATATAATTTCGCTAAATTTTACCTTTTTCCATTTAGACGACTTGCAAAACCTTTAAGTTTCGTCCAGCAACCTTAATCATATATATTCATGATTATTATTGAACTATTAATAAATCTATGATATTTAATGATATTTTATGATTAACTATTTAAAATTCTTTATACAAACCTGAACTTTATATTGCTATCATAATGAATCAGACATATATTTGTAATTACTATTATCAAAGACTTACACATTCTGGTCAAACTTATAAGAAAGGATTTATAGTCAAATGACTTATTATGAAGAAGATTACTTTCGTTATATCTATAAGTATCTAACTCAAATTGATTCTTAGATAATCTCTTATTATTCTGCAATTCTTTTACTTTGAGATACACATATGAATACCCAATATATAACTGATAAAGGATTTGCTCAATATATGTCTAAATATATTGTAAAGTAGAATTATCACATATATTTAATATTTAAAAATAACCTTTTTAGATAATATATAATCATCTGAAAACTTACTGCTATGAAACTTATGTTTCTTCTTTTAGGTTATCCTATCTATAACTTTTCTGCTAATATATAATTTCTTACTATTGAACCTCCTATCACTAGAACACATGCAATCCACAATAAATTGCCTTTTCACAAAGTAATTCATTAGAAGGATTTGCTAATTCTCTAATAACACTCGTATAAGTATCTGACCAGTTTTTCTATCCAGAATGTCAATACAAAAAACTGGTGTGATCCGCACAAATTAGTATAGAAACACCATTATCAAACACACAATCCTGTACATATCGATATCGCCTGTTGTAATAACTTTATAATCAATCCATTTTAATAATTAACATCTTTAATTTATTTTTATTTATTTTCTTTTTTTAAAAAAAAAAGTGATATAAATATTTATATACGACATTTTAGAAAATTTTTTTTACAAATGTTATCGAATGAAATAAAGTTCTTAAAAAAATGATTCTATATACATAAATTTGTTGCTTGATAAGAAATAATAATAAAATTTGATGATAATACAAATAATTGTCATATATAAAGATCTCCAAATAAATAGTTTCCTAATACAATGTGCCCCCAATATCATTACCTTATTGTCTAATATATAAATTATATATTTTTTTTTTTTTTTTTTTTTTTTTTTTTTATGTATTTTACAATAATCACATTTACCTTAAGTTAATTGGAGGGTCTTGTCATATTTTATAATCTATTGACCACCAAATAGTTTGTCCAATATTATCCCAACATTCCATTCACCGGTTTCCGTTTTATTATTATTATTATTATTATTGTTATTGTTATTGTAATTATTATTGTTAATTTCACCTTCCCGTACTATTGTTGTTGTATTTGTAGTTGGAGCAGCATAGGCCAAATGTTGTCGTAAACGATCTTCTAAATTACCATTATTTGTCAACAACCTTGTTTGTTTTGGCGTTGTTGTAGTTAATGGTGGTGGTGGTGAGATAGGTTGTGGAATAGTGGGTGATTCATCAGATCCAATATATTGTATGGTTGTTGAAGTTGGAGATCTTATAGGTGATGATGCGGATACATCTGCCAACAAGCCCCTTTCATTACCATCACCGTGACGATTAACAGACGCTGATATTAATCCATTTTCACTACTGGTTAATCGTCTTTTATCATGAAAAGGTTCTGCACTAACGTTCCTACCAGTCAGTGTCCCGAACTTCTTCTTCCCACTTGCGCTGTCCACTAATTTCCCGACTTTCTTCTCTGCTATATTCTTCTTCCCTGGTATAGTATCGTTCCCACCACCACCTCCTCCAAAAAAAGAAACAACATTCCTTCTTAACATTGAACCAACTGTTTCATTATTATCCCTTCTCTTTGAATCTCTTAATGTGTTTGGCGCGTTAGTGTAAGATTCCAGATTCCGATCCGCAAAATATGAATCCTCGGCAAAAGTGTCAATGCTACCTACAGATATATCGCGATCATGCAAAAAATCTACTGATAATCTTCGACTATGATGACGAGCAGAAGTTGGTGATTGAACTTCTTTAGATCCTCCAAATAATACCCGACTAAAGTAGGCACCAATTCCATCGTCACTACTTTGACTATGCCTTCCTCTTTCTCTCATTTCCATCGTTTCTTCTTTTCCACTCTGCAAACTTCTGTCAAACTCTTCTTCCGCTTTCCGTCGACACGCTTCAACTTTCTGAAAGTATTCAACTTGAACTTCATTAATCATCATCCGTAACTTGCAAACTTCAGTTAAAAGGTCTTGCATGAAATGCGTTAATGGTAAGAAATTTTCGGGAGAAAATGTGAATAAATCTTTTTGACTAGAATTATCATCGGAACTATAACCTCCATGACCTTCCTTTCCATCTGTTTTAATTCCTTCAATTTTGCGTAAATCTTCAACCCATCGGAATCGTTCCCTAAGATTTTCAACATCTACTAAAATGTTTTCAATTAAATTGTTACTTAAACTGCTTAATTCTAATATATCAAAAGTTCTCTTCAACCGACGGTTCAAAGCTAAAAGATCTGTGCCTTTAAGACGATCCATAATAGAATTACCAATATTAAAGAGTATTTGGTATGGATTTTGCTGTTGCGGTGATTCAGGTTGGTGAGGGTCGGCTTTACCTTCGTTAGGGCTTTGAACCATTATGGAAGGTACATGGAGTGAAGGACGTCGCGTTGCCGTTGAAGCATGACGAGAATGGGTAGATTTTGCTGAAGTTGTTAAACTATTCTCAACTTCATTAGCAAAAGCGGCAGCTTCAGCAGCGGAAACATTAGCTTCATCGACCAATACTTCTTCAACAAATTCTTTAATAGGCGAATTCATTGAGTCCATCCGACTCTTACCCTTAACAGTTTCAACATCACTACTATTATCTTTAGAAGAGATGTCATTTTCTTCATAAATATCCCCACCATCTACATTACAAAGTTGTTCTTTTGCGACACCAGCGCGCCACATTTCCATCATTTGTTTACGTTCTATAGGCCTTAAAGTCGCAAATTTTGGATTCTTGAAAGCAGGTATTGAAGGTTTTGTTGAAATATTCTTTAACTTTGGATTCGCGGCGGGCGAATTAGAAGATTGAGATATTTTTACCGATAATGAAGATGGGGTAGCAGCAGATGCTCGACGATTGACAGCCAACGGTGAAGATTGTGAAGGTTTGTGCTGTTTCAAACCAGGAGATGGTATGGTTCTTCCACCACTTGCTCGTTTCGCAGAATAATTTGGAACTGAAGTAGCATGATGATAAGAGAATTTAGAATCACTTTTCCTTTTAATAATACCACTCGGAGGTTCCCTGGTTATTGATTTGTCACCTTTTAGTTCATCTTTAGAATTTTCAGCAGCTGATTTCTTGAGACTGGCAGATAATAAGGAGACATTTTGTTTTTGAAGTGAAGTATTTTGAACTGGTAAAGAAAATGCTCGCATCTTCTTTTTTCCTTGACTTTTAGTTGGCTTCGACTTGGATTCCTTCTTTGGTTTATCCGAATATTTTTCGTCTCCCTAATGTTCAATGAATGCCAAAAATAAGAAACCAAAGGGAGAAGAAAGTGTCTGGGATGAGGAATAAATACCAGAATTGGCTTCGGTAAACTCAAAATTCAACAAATTCCAACAAACAAAAAAAAAACCCCCCAAAAATACGCTTAAATTATCAACAAGTTTCCCATTCAGAGAAATAAAATAAATGACAAACCTCGGGGTTTCTTTCTTCACCACTATCATCACTGTATATAATATCGGATTCTGAAGTTTCATTATAATTTCTTTCATATTTCTTTTCGGTGGTATCGGATTGAGCACCATCCTTACGTAGTTCTTCATCCTCTTCACCAATTTCAAAAAATGCTTTTTTACCTTTCCTATTACCGCTACGTTCAGACTTTCTAACACCCTTATGTTTTGTCTTTTTCATTAGATATTTTTCGAGTTCTCCAAATACACTACTTCCTCGAACTATTTCCGCATTTTCATTGGGGTAATGATAGTAATGATGATGATGATGATGCTGTAATGGATTAGAACTAGATAATGCTGAAGTTGAAACAAACGAGCCAACAGGTGAATGAGCCGAAGGATCTACGCCTAGGCTATTGAACGTATTATAGGAAGCATGACTAAATGATGATGATATAGGAGACATATGAAGATGGATTGGCTTAGTGGAAGATCCAGATGGAAAATTTGAACCTTCCCCATTTTCTTCAACTTCAACATTAGAGGAATTCTCGCCTCCAGTTCCTCCCATTCCCTTTTCATCCAACACATGTAGAGGAAAATTTGGTTTAAAAGGAGAAACAAATGCAGCGGAACTTGCATAACTAGCAGGATAAGCGTAACCAGTTGTACTTGCAGTTTCCATATCTTCAATACGATTTTGTAAAGTGCTAAGTTCATTTCTGGATTCTAATAGAAGTTCACGATATTCAGAATTCTCAGATTTTAATTTATTATTTGCAGATGAAAGTTCTTTAATTAATGCGATAAGATGATTATTTGCTTCATTATTTGAAGGAGAGGACTAAGTAAACAAAATATATAATAAAATAAGATATAATACGCGTGTGTATAAAAAATCATTAAGAAAATTTGATTACCTTATAATTTTCTTTGGTTTCACGAAGCATAGCAACGGCCTCCAACTTTTGTTTCGATTTTTTTGTTTCGATTTGTTCCTTTTTTAGCTTTTCATGTTCACTATGAAGTTGGTCTATGAATGAATGAATAAATAAATTGATTATATTGTTAATTTTTTTTTTTTTTTTACTAAAAAACCAGATTTGAAATGTTTACCAAATCTATTTTTCAATTGTTTGACACTCATTTCAGCTGCAAGTTCCGATTTTCGAGAAACCGCCAATTCTTGTTGTAAATCTTCCAATTGTCTACTTAGCATTTCTTCCCTTTCCTCACTTCTCTCTCCTTTAATATTACTGGCCATTAATCTCTTGATCTCGTTGTCACGTTCTTTTAATTCTGTATTTAGGTCCCGAATCATTGAATCATGTTTATCAAGAGCGGTTACTAAAATACCATTTTTCTAACAAAAAAAAAAAATAATAAAGGAGGTTAAATTTATTATGATATGATAGCGTTATTTTATTTTAACAACTTTTTTTACCTCATCCAACAGATTTTTCTGTCTCAATGCGTCATCTCTTTCTCTTATTAGTGCCCTTTGCGTGTCTTCAAGCTCGAACACTATGTCCTTGAGCTCTTGAACACTTTGTTCCGAGCGCGCACACTATATGAAAAATAATGAATGAGACATAAATTTCCAAATTCGGTCACTGTAAAGTTTTGCTAATTTTTTTCAAGTATACCTGATGTTCTAGTGCTGATCGGAAATTTTCCATTTTTTTTTGATCTAATTCATACTTTTGTTGTTTTTGTAAAAGAGCTTGTCCAACCTCTGAAAAAAAAAGCATATAATGATTTTATTAATAACGATCGTTACGATTACTTTATCTGATCAAGATTATTTTCTTTTCTTTTCTTTTTTTGTACAATGAAGAAAACCTCACCAGCAGCTAACCTTAACTCATCTTCCAATGAACGAGCGCTTCTTTGAAATGCTAACTGGTTTTGACAAGTTTCTTTTCTACAACAACATTGAAGAGGTACAGGAGATCTAGGAGTAGGTGAAAAGGTCTCCCAAAAAGAAGACCCAGAAGTGTTATCAAACCGAGTCACACTATTTAAGCGGGATCGCGGTGCTGGTGGATTAATACTTTCGTCGTCACTATTGGATTCCGTCGCCTGTTGAGCTTGCTGTGTTGACAACAATCGACGAGATAAATCTGTGGGATTTGGTACAGAGCCGCCCAGCCTTGCGGTTGGGCTGCCCGTACTATGGTATTCCATATCAACTTTTCACCAGGTATATAATATCAAAGATTGGACAAGAGTAGGTAGAAATTTTATTTAGGGTAAATTATGCAGTTGGGTTTGTGGTAGACAGAAACACTGAGAGAAACTGTGAATCTATCACCCCAACGCTTAAAAAAAAAAAATTTTTTTTTCTTTTGACTATTTCGTCCCTTCACGATATATAATATCTCTTCTGTATTGAAGGAAAAAAAAAAAAAAAAAATTTGGCTATTTTTACAAAAAGTAGAAACATTGGGATTTTTGAACATTCTAAGTTGCCAGATTTGCTTGTGGAACCGCCAACTTCTGGCGCTATAACAAATAAAGTCATGGACTGAACGGGAGTCTCGTTCGGTTGTTCAGGGATAATGTCACACAACCCACATTTTTTACATGGTTATTTAAAAGTTTTTGAATAAGGTTAAAAATCTCGGATTTCGCCTCTATTTCCCATATTCGTCCTTCATTTTGTAACACTAACATCGACATCATACCATTAAAAGAAATTTTAACCCCAAATCCCAACCTCCTTTTCTATGCGTCGTGTAACATGTTTGATTTCAAAAAAAAAAATTTTATTTTTTATAGTTTGAGATATAATACAGATTTGAAGGGTTTTTATTTAGAACCCTTTAAAAAAAAAAAAAAATTATAAACATATTTAACTCTGCCTTATTGAATTATTTACTATTAATTGGAAAATGCTTCATGTGCTTTTTTACAATTTTTTAAATTGTTCTCAAGATCAATTGTATAACACACAAAAGTTGCATCGACTCTGCAAGATATTATAAAATTGTTAATAATTTTGTAAATAATAAATTAATTTAAACTAAACAACTTACGTGTTCATCATAATGTGTGTATAAAACTGCGAAATATAATAAGGAACGATGGAAGCTATAATTCCAACAACATATCCATATGGTGATTGAAGTGTATGTGTAGCATATATAAAGGTAGCAAATCCACAGATAAGTGCAATGATTAGAGATCCAATATATAGAATCGATTTGGCTGCATAGTCTGAAATATAAGACATGTAAATGGTCAACAGGATATTTTAAAGGGAAAAAAAAAAAATCTCTAATTTATTAGAATTCTCACCGCTTACTAGTCCAGAAACAAGATTACCACGAAATAACTTGGTTGTCTTATGTGCTGAAGAACAGAAATTCTTACCATACATGCCTACGTAAATTAAAGTGTAATTGTTCAAATTGTCTATGATACCATCAATGAATGTCAGAACCCATGATAGACAACAAAGAACCGAGCTATTTTTGAATTTCTGTATTTAAAAATAATAAATAAATAAACATTTTTCACAAGCGAAATATACTTTAATTTCATTCTTACTTTTTTCAAAAAATCGGTAAAACTTTTAATTAATTGAATAGATGCAAGAATAAGCCCTCCAAGACAAACCGTTCCAAATGAAACTGTCGTTGCGTTCAAAAAGGATCTATCTGTTACTTCCTTATTTCGATCTGAGTCATATAAATCATCATAATCATTCCTAAATAAAAAAAAACCAATATGAGAATCTTATTATATTCAATATTCAATATGACGGGAAAATTGAATATATAAATCATATGATTATCCTAATGTAATTTTTTTAAATACCTATAAAAATACCAATTTGATACAACTCCAGATAAAGTTACTTTTTGAACATTACTCAAAACAGCGGAAGTCCATAAATACATAAAAATGAAATACAAAATGAGTAGATATGTATTTGGCTCTAACTTCCAAATATCTTCTAAATGCAAATAACATAATCAATATAAAATAAAAACTAATTATATAAGTAAAAATATAAAACAATAATAACCTGAAGCAATCTGCACCATATGTCCAACTAGAAATACATGACTAAATAAATATAACCATAATATTGTAAAGAAGACATAAACAATAAGAATCTTGAGCGAAATCCAAAACATTTGCGGATTATCTCTAACTATATCGATTGCTAGTTGAATAAGTGTTATTGTCCTTTCGATTTTTTTTCGGTGAGTAAAAAGAATTATTGAATATACAATGAATATAATCAATGGAATAAATGATAACACCGCAAGTGCATCATCCTGCGGATCAGGCTTCTCTGAATCTCGAAGAGCTCCCGAAAATGCTTCAACTCTAGTCCAAACGAACATCGCGAAACAAATGAATGGAACGGCTGTCAAAGTTCCCCAAACTATGATCTTGGTAAATGAACGAAGTAATAATATCCATATTACACCCACAATTAGAGAGAAAAATAAGGCAAATAAAAGTGGTCCAACGCTATCTTGGATGACAAAAAATACGGATTCATGTGAATAATCCTTTAAGATGTATGACTATTCAAATGAAATTCATTTAGAAACGGTTAGGAATTATATTGTTATTTATTAGCTTATTAAAATCATAAATTTACAAAAAGAAGTTACTTACATTGGTTGTGAATATCAGAAATATACCAATAGCTAACATCATTATTAGTCCTATACAAAAAAGGATCGCAAATGCTGGATCTTTATATTTTCGGTGTAAAACGCATGAAAGTAGATTTGGCGGTATCTAAAAGCCCCGTTATTTATTGAGTAAACAAAGTCGATTTTTTTACTTCAAGAATAGTATAAAAAGATTCTTACCTTTTCTGTGAGAAGAAGTTCCTCCGAAAGTGGGTTATTAGTAGCTTTAACTGTGTGATTAGAAGGAATGTCTAAATAAATCTCTGCCGCAGCCTGCAATTGTAACAATGTAAGTTTCAAAGGTTTGACAAGCAAGAGTATATTTCTTTCTTTACCTGCTTATTGGAATAGAACCTAGGAGATTGTACAGATAAAAACGCTGCATCAGGCCCGTTCTCTTGTTCGTCTTCGTCCTCATATTGATTATACTCTCGCACCTGAGAGGTTTGAAGGGATATTGACTCGTGAATTTCTGCTTCTGTTGGTAATGTTGCTACGGAGTAGAATAATGACGCGCCTGGCTCTTCAGAGGCTTCCGAGGTGACAGAATCTCTATTAGTTTTAAACCACAAATCTTTTTTATATTGAGAAAACATGGAAATATCGGTTTGGTTTATACGCATAATACATTTCTCCGTGTATTATACTTTATTTTACCATAAAAAATCCACACGTGATATGATGTAATGGTGTAACACAACGCACGTGTTAAATAAATATATTTTACAGTTTATTAAAAATACATTGAATTGAATATACATTTAATCTAATTTCAATCTTCCTCCCCATATTCCGCTGTAAGCTCACACATATGATGAATAATTCTAAACGGAATAACCAAGTCCAAATACAATTGCATGCTCGCACCCAAATATTCGTCTTTGCTCATTTGTTTCATCAAATACCACGTATCCAAAATGAAATATAAACTTAAGATCCATGCAAGGGAGAATGCCGGAATCAAATCAGCAAAACTGAAGAACCAAGGATGAAGTATAAAGGAAGCTATAAGAATCATCACCGAGGTAATAATTCTATATAAAATGATAAAGATATCCATTAAGAAAAATTACCAATTAAAGAAGATAACAAAATAAATAAATATATATATAAATACATGGGTTCTTTCGCTCTAAACTTATAAGATGTTTGATACGTAAATGCAAGCACCGAAAAGCTCGCCACCAGCATCAAAATTAAAGTATCGAGTACGAAAGTCAATCGAAGAATAGAAACTAATATGATAGAGATAATTCAGTTCATATTTCTAGTCGAGATATAATCATATTATTAACTTACCAAGAAAACCGACAACATAAGCGTTAAAACAAGTATATATCATGATCAAATACCATGGTGGTTGGAAATCATCGTTGGATTTATATGTTAAAGCAATCAATAAAATAAATGTTATGCCAATTGAAGCCCACCAAGTCCATATGCTAAATTCATATAATTAATTATTAGTAACGATTATTCATTGATTAAATAAAATAAAATAAAACTTACTGTCTTTGAAGGAAATGTCTCCAATCATACATATAGATAAGTAAGGCTGTTGTAAAGGTAACCGCTACAAGTTCACTAGTAAAAATTACCCAAACCTTACGAACGAATGCTATAGATAAATGAATTTGTTAAACGTTCAGTTATTTTCAAATTTTAACTGCAATCTAATTCAAACAATACCCATTTGAACAGATAAACTAGATAAGAATACTGGTTTTCCAAAAGGATATAATGGGCTGCTCTCGTCATCTGTAATGTTTTCGTCAAAAGTTTGTACACTTCCTGTAGTTGGGTGAAAGGTTTGATAAGACATTACTAGAGAGAATGTTGAAAATTTTTTTGGTCGATTAATTCTACGTATCCAATAAAACGGCATCAAAAAAAAATTTCTTCTCGTAATTTTGACCGGCGTTATATGCAACCTGCTGGCATTAAGAAATTAACTAATAATTTATTAAATCTGAATATAGTTAACTTTAAAAATCATATTTAGCAATTTATAAAAGATAATTTTATATTTTCAAATAGTCTGATAATTTTAAATGGTTTTGTTTAAATTTTTTATAGATTTTTTTTTAAAAAAAATTATATATTTAGTTTAAATAATTTAATCTAAAATGAATTATATAATATTTTTATCTAACTTAAATAGATTGAAATATTTAATTAATTAAATTATAACTAAAGATGATATTGTAATTAGTTGTAATCATATAATGCTTATTTGTCATCAGTTGCAATTAGTTGCAACTCAATTTTTATTAATATCACAACTAGTTATAATCCTATAATACTTATTTATTATCAGTTGCAACTAATTGCAATGTCATCTTTAATTATAATTAGATTTAATATATTAGCTTTATTAAATTAAAAAAATTAAATTATATTTACATTTTTATTTAATATTTTTAGTATTTATATAAAATTAAGTTTTTAAATTAGAAAATATAAGAACTTTCAGATTTAAATATTATAAATTTAAAGTTTTCTAAATAATTAATTAAATTATATAATTAGAAAAAGATTAATTAATTTTCCTTAAATTTTTTTTTAGTTAATTTTCTCTTAAAGACAATTAACTTACAATATATCTTTAGTTTTTCTTTAAATTTTCTCTAGTTTTTTCCTTATTTTTTTTAGTATTTAATTTGTTTTAGTTTATTTCTTATTATAAATGTATTAATAAACTAAATTAATTAAAATCCTAATATTTTTATAAATATTTTAATTATAATTAATTATTAGTGAAATTAAAATATTATTTTGTAATTAAATTACTATATAAATTTAAAAATTTTATTATTTAAATATTTTAAAAAAAAATTACCAAAAAAAAAATTTTTATTTTATAAGCTAAATATTTTTTTTAGTAAAATAAGTTCAAATTTAATATTAATTCAAAAAATTTTTTAATATTTTCTTCTTTTCTACCACAAAATATCTATATATTGAATTTTAATATATTTTAATATCTAATAAAATTTAATAAATTATTTATAATAATAAATAAATTTTTTTATTATGATAAAGATCAAATTTTTTAATTATTTATTTTAATTTAAAAATTACTTTATCAATAAAAATATACCTTCTTACTTAATAATTTATTATATATTTTATTAATGAAGCCCTATATAATTAGATTACATTCAACTTATTAATAATCATTTTATTGATAATTATTTAACTAATAATTATTTAACAATAAATACATTTTACTGACACTTATATTATTAACAATCATTTTACTAATATAATTATTTTACTGAAAAATAACAAATTTTAAAATTTTATATTTTTTATTTAATAATTTGAATAAGAAAATTTTATATTTTACAATAAATAAATATCATTTATCTAATAAAATTACAAATATAAATTAAAAAATTATGAGCAATCCCTCTAAGGTAATCTATAAGTTTTTGATTTTATGATTATTATATATTATTTATATATAATTTCTCATTTATAATCTTGTTTTTTATAATGATTATGGTATCTCTCGTAAAATAGATTTTACATAAAGCTGCACTTATTTTTGCTCATTTTATAGTTTATTTATAATTTTAAATATACTTATATAAACATGATCTACTAATGTTTCTTATCTTTTATATCAAACCTTCATATTATTTTGAGTTTTTAGAAATGAATATTTAATATTGGACTAAAGTAAAAGTAAAAATAATAATTCAGATTGAATTATATTTCTATTTCTTAATATATATCTAATTTTCCTATAAACATAACAATTTTTAAACTAATCTAAAATTTGATTTACTTCTACTAATATATTTAGTTTTTAATTTATTAAAAGCTGTAGAAATTTTATTGTGAGTTAAAAAAGTAAGTATTAAAATATAGCAAATTAATAAACTAAAATTTTCATTAATTTTATTTTAAATAGTAAAATTAAAAACCTATATTTTGTAATATATATTTTGAGATAAATAAAAATAATAACCTTTATTTTGCATTCTTAAAATTCTGCATAGATAGCATTAATTGCAACTTATTAAAAATAAACTATAGTTGTAAATCAATATTATGCTCATCTAAAGTTACTTGTTAAACTAATTTTGGATTTGTCAAAATATCTAAATTATAGTTTTGCTAATTTTTTACTAAGGTTTTAATATAGTTTCACATTTTATAAGCTTTGATATAGTTTTATCTTTTCTAGATTTTTTAATAAGATTTTAATATAATTTTATTAAATTTTACCTTTTTTTCATTTAAATGACTTGCAAAACCTTTAAGTTTCATCTAATAATCTTATATTTATCACTAAAATTAATTAAATCCTTTATTTAAATGATAATAGAATTATTCTAATTAAATAATAATTAAATTATTTTAATTGAATGATTATCAAAACTTTCTAATTAAATAAAAATTAAATCAAGAAAAATAATTAGTTAACCTAAAATTTATCAGATCAGATCAAATCAGATTGACCTGTTAATCTGAACTAATTATCTAAAAATCTATTAATTTGATTTGAATTTTTAGATTAGGTCAGATTATGTTGTCAGCGTTGAAAATTTGCCCTAAAAAAAATGATTTACAAAGTCATTAGATTTAATTTTATGTAGATCATATTAAGGAAGATCTTGATCGACGTATTGCA